TAGAAGGTAGGAGGAGGGTCTGGGTCCACAGTTGCCAACGTTCAGCGGCTTTTACACGGCCGATGCCTTGGACAGGTCGAGTGAGCCTGATGTTAGGCCCATGTGGTAGTTTCCCAAAATAGGGGGACCCCAATATAGTCCCCCCCAAATTACTACAGTATAGTCCGTTTTAAGGGGACCCCCAAAAAGGTACCCCCTAATTTTGTGAAACCCCCATGTGAAAACCCTTCCAGACGCGTCAATGTCGTGTGCTCCTTCGCCGCTGGATTCGGTCAGACTGCACACTCGCAACAAAGTCGGCAACTATCAGGACCCTCCTTCCTCCTTGTACCCTTAAATTGGGCTATATGGCCCCTAACATAAATTGGTACTTAGGCCCGGATTGAGAGTAGAAGGAGGGTCTAGGTAGCTATAACAAACACCCTATTTCAGAATGACTTCTAAAAGGTTGCATCTCTGTGCGTTTGCAGTGGTGGCTGAAAGCTCTGTTTCGACGCTCTGACCAGCTTCGCGGTGGAAACACTTTGAAGGAACATTCAAACACATGAAGAAAACACACGACTCTCCGAGCGCCCATTGTGAAACACTTGAAATGCGTCTGAACGGAGCAGGACAAGATTCGAGCTCTGTGCTTTCCTAAGCCCTAAGCTCAAACCTTCATCAGCCTTTGAACAAACTAGCTATACTAGCTAACTAGCGCAACTCTCCGAGTCAAGCGCCAGATGTCGTCTGAATCCTCTTGAACTTGCTGTTGTCGAAGACATCTTGAACCGAGGTTCGCCTCCCTCGGATTGCAGCTGTCGCCTGCAAAACCTCCTGGAAAAGGACCTCGAGCTTTGTCTCAATCCGCCAGATGTCCACAGCTTTGGCACCTCCTTTCAAGCGCGCTGCACCGTCGATAAACTCTGTAAGCGTTATCTGCCCGTCGCCGTCGTCCAGGAACCTCAGCGGCACGAAAATGAGTAAGAAACTTCCAGAAACCTCAGACTGAGAAATGCAGCTGCTGGGTGCCGACTTCAAGTACGAGGGATCTTTCTATTCAGCCAAGTCGATGTGCATCGAACCGCACTTCACCTGTCCGAACCCACAATCTTCTTCTCCAACGGGTGACTTAGGCCTCCTTCTATGAGCCATCTACTATAATAATCGCACTGCACCGAAACTTGTTTAACTTGCGACACGGACCGCGAACTGCAGTACAAGAGGCTCAAAAAGAGATAGGAGGTCATGGTATTCAAGATCCAACTGGCTCATGAAGAACTGAAGCTTGGGCGACTGAACTAACCTGGGTTGCTGTTAAGGA